AGAATCTAGATTCTTATGTGAATCGATTTTTTGGCCCCCTTCCTCTACCCACACCCCCTCCCCTACCCACTTTGATGCATTTTTCAAATTTCGCCTTGGGGCGGAGTTATCTTTTCACAGGGGGGTAAGTTACACTTTAAGTTTTGGCAAGTAAAGACAAAGGAGAGGAGGAAAGTAAGGTTAGTGTTATACTAATTTTACTTTATCAAGAGTTTGAGAAAACCGAATCGAGTCCTGGAGTGATTTCTGTTTGAATGACTGTTTAAAATCTGCAGTACCCAAACCATGTCCTAAGGAAAATTCTTCTGAAAGTATTGATTYGACTAAAGTTCCTCCTGAATATCATGATTTGGCCCAAGTGTTTAGAAAAGCTGATGCACTTTCATTGCCACCACATCATCCATACGATTGCGCCATAGAGTTTCTGCCTGGTGYCCCTTTGCCCTCTGATCGCCTGTACAATTTATCAGGTCCTGAGTATGAATCCATGAAAGATTACATTGATGACTCCTTACAATCTGGTGTCATCCGTCCCTCCTCATCTCCTGTAGGGGCTGGGTTTTTCTTTGTTGAAAAAAAAAGACAAGAGCCTTCGCCCCTGTATAGATTACAGGGGATTCAATCAAATAACTATTAAAAACAAATATCCATTGCCCCTTATTGATTCTGTCCATCAGCAGCAGCCACCATTTTCTCTAAATTAGATCTGAGAAATGCTTACCATTTGGTAAGAATTAGAAGGGGTGACGAATGGAAAACTGCTTTCAAAACACCTCTAGGCCACTTTGAACATCTGGTGATGCCCTTCGGGCACACAAATGGCCCTGCAGTGTTTCAGTCCCTAATCAGTGATGTCCTRCGAGATTTTTTAAACAGCTTCGTGTTTGTATATCTAGATGACATTTTGATCTATTCCCAGAATCCAAGCCAGCACCGTCAACATGTTTGTGCTGTTCTTCAAAGGTTATATTAAAATCAACTCTTAGTMAAAGCAGATAAAGGTGAGTTTCATGTGGCATCTACAACTTTTCTCAGCTTCATTTTTGGACAAGGGTTCTGCAAGACTGATCCTGACAAAGTTAAAGCTGTGGCAGGGTGCCCCGTCCCCAGCGATCACAGGCAGTTGCAGAGATTTCTGGGTTTCGCTAATTTTTACCACCGCTTCATCAAGGACTACAATATCTTGGCAAAACCATTGACACAACTCACCTCTACCACCAAGGCCTTTAAGTGGACTCCTGAGGCCAACACAGCCTTTGGTGAGTTTAAGTCTCGATTTGTTTCTGCCCCCATCCTCAAGCGCCCTGATCCCTCAAAACAATTCGTTTTGGAGGTTGATGCTTCTGATAATGGAGTGGGTGCAGTTCTTTCACAGAGATCAGATTCTGATAATAAGAACCAACCCTGTGCTTTTCTCACCCATTGAAAAAAATTATGTTGGCAACAGGGAGCTTCTTGCTATAAAATTAGCACTTGAGCAATGACGACATTGGATGGAGGGCACTGAGACTCCTTTTATCATCTGGAAAACCACAAAAACCTTTCATATCTGCAAACAGMCAAAAGACTCAATCCACGTCAGGCTTGCTGGTCACTGTTTTTTGGTCATCTTAATTTCACKATCATTTATCGCCCATGTTCAAATAATGTTAAACCTGATGCTCTCTCCCATCAGTTCTCTGTCTCAGATCAACCTCAGGAAGAAAACATCCTTCCTGTTTCCTGTTTTGTTGGAGCCCACACCTGTTCCATCCACAAAGTCATCCAGGATGCTCAAGTCAATGAGCCCAAKCCAGGTGGAGGTCCTCAGGGTAAGCTGTTTGTACCTTCTGCTGTTAAATCTAAAGTTTTGGACTGGCTACACTCTAGCCAATTTTCATGTCACCCTGGTGTTTCATGTGTGCTTTCCCTGGCGACAATATACTTCTGGTGGCCTACCATGTCTGCAGACGTTAAGGAATTTGATGCAGCCTGCACCACCAGTGCAAGATCTAAAAGCGGAAACCAGCCTTCCTCTGGACTCCTTCAACCTCTTCCTGTCCCTGTAGACCATGGTCACACATCACCCTTGACTTCGTCAATGGACTGCCTCCCTCCCAGGTTAACACTGTTGTACTCACAGTTGTTGACCACTTCTCTAAGTCTGTTCATTTCATTCCCCTTCCCAAGCTCCCATCTGCCATAGAGACTTCCAACCTCCTGGTCCAGCATGTTGTGGGGATCCATGGGATCCCTTCAGACATTGTGTCGGATCGTGGGCCCCAGGTTGTCTCCCCGGTCTGGAAAGCTTTTTGCAACGCTCTGGGTGCCTCGGTCAGCCTAACGTCAGGATATCATCCCCAGTCCAATGGTCAAACAGAGCGATGTAATCAAGAGTTGAAAGCTGCCCTGCGATGTGTGGTCTGTAAAAATCCTTCATCTTGGTCAAAACACTTAGATTGGATTGAGTATGCTCATAATACTCACACCTCCACTGCTACTGGTTTATTTCCATTTGAAGCCTCCCCTGGTTATAATCCCCCTCTGTTTCCTCATCTAGAGTCTGAAATCTCTGTCYCCTCTGTCCAGCATCACCTCTGTAAGTGCAGGAGGATCTGGCAACAGGCGAAGTGGTCCCTCCTCCGCACCGCAGACGAAAATAAAAGGTTTGCTGATAGTCGCTGTACTTCTGCCCCTGTCTATCAGGTTGGTCAAAAGGTTTGGCTTTCCACTAGAAATATCCAACTCAAAGACACTCCTAGAAAGCTTGCCCCTCGTTTCATAGGACCCTATATCATTGACAGAGTCATCAATCCCTCTGCTGTTCACCTGTCATTGCCYTCATCTATGCACATTCATCCCAAGTTTCATGTCTCGCAAATTAAGCCTGTCTCTGTTAGTCCTCTCAGCCCTCCTACTGTCCTCCCCGTCCTGCCCGGATCATCGATGACCATCCTGCCTTTACTGTAAGGCATATCCTGGATGTCAGGCGACGGGGTAGAGGGTTCCAGTACTTGGCAGACTGGGAAGGCTATGGTATAGAGGAGCGGTCTTGGATCCCTAGATCCTTCATCCTCGACCTCTCCCTCATTTCTGATTTCTATAGGTCTCACCGTGAGAAGCGCCCGAGATCGCCTGGGGGCRATCAATAAGASGAGGGTACTGTGATGATTGGTGCTCTGCTCCTGTGTTCTCCTGGCTAATTGGCAGAAGCTGGTGCGTCCTCCTGATGAGCTCCTGGTTTCCTTTAAAAGGCTCACTTCACCGTTGGTCGGCGCTGAAGCATCATCGCTACTTGGGTAGTAAGCTGAAGCCTCTTAAAAAAGTAATGTCAAAGTCTGTTCAAAGTAATCATGTCTTTTGCCTTTGTTCAGGAAAACAAAGCCCACGTGTTTACCAAGAGAGTCTTTGGAAACCGCTCACCACTAGCCTGGAAACAAGCCTGCCTGCCAAGAGAACCAAACAAACCACTCACCTGTTCACTCACCTTCCTTCTGGGTCACTCTGCCTGAAGCCACAGGATCTTGGAACAAGGAGATGCTTCATTCCTCGAGTGAGAGACTCACTGGAACATCCTGTAAGAAAATAAACAATTATTCTAACAATCATTTGCATCTTGAAACTAAAGTTCAACATTATATTCACCAAACTGTCTTCCCCTCTGTTACAGCCTGGATTCCTGCAAACGCCTGTAAATAAAAAAAAACTTACCTTTTTATCCACCTCTGTGTGAGTTTTCTGAGCTGAGCTCTTTTGTGACTCTGGATTTATGTCAAGAATCAAACTACAGAGAACAACTGGACCTGACCTAAGCGGGTTTAAAAACACAGAGCAGGTCTGATAAGAACCAAGATTTTAAATTCTGACCCAGATCTGACCTAAGGTGGTCCAAATCTTCAAAATGGCTGAAATCTCCCTTTAACTGCTGAGCCTGAGTAGACAGAAAGAGGCTGTCATATTATAACAGATGCATTAAAAACTGAAATAATTTCACAACAAACTTTTTGAGTCACCAAATCTGTTTCAAATTAAATCAAAATGAAAAATAAACAGCTGATCACTGATCAGAGGAGGTA